TTCACGTTTTGTATATGCCACTGGTTCTTCACGTTCTGTAGATGCCACTGGTTCTTCACGTTCTGTAGATGCCACTGGTTCTTCACGTTCTGTAGATGCCACTGGTTCTTCACGTTCTGTAGATGCCATTGGTTCTTCACGTTCTGTAGATGCCACTGGTTCTTCACGTTCTGTAGATGCCACTGGTTCTTCACGTTCTGTAGATGCCACTGGTTCCTCACGTTCTGTAGATGCCACTGGTTCTTCACGTTCTGTAAATGCCACTGGTTCTTCACGTTCTGTAGATGCCACTGGTTCTTCACGTTCTGTAGATGCCACTGGTTCTTCACGTTCTGTAGATGCCACTGGTTCTTCACGTTCTGTAGATGCCATTGGTTCTTCATGTTCTGTAGATGCCACTGGTTCTTCACGTTCTGTAGATGCCACTGGTTCTTCATGTTATGTAGATGCCACTGGTTCCTCACGTTCTGTAGATGCCACTGGTTCTTCACATTCTGTAGATGCCACTGGTTCTTCACGTTCTGTAGATGCCACTGGTTCTTCACGTTCTGTAGATGCCACTGGTTCCTCACGTTCTGTAGATGCCACTGGTTCTTCATGTTCTGTAGATGCCACTGGTTCTTCATGTTCTGTAGATGTAGATGCCACTGGTTCTTCATGTTCTGCAGATGTAGATACCACTGGTTCTTCACGTTCTGTAGATGCCACTGGTTCTTCACGTTCTGTAGATGCCACTGGTTCTTCACGTTTTGTAGATGCAACTGGTTCTTGACGTTCTGTAGATGCCACTGGTTCCTCACGTTCTGTAGATGTCACTGGTTCTTCATGTTCTGCAGATGTAGATGCCACTGGGTTCTGCACGTTCTGCAGATGTAGATGCCACTGGTTCCTCACGTTGTAGATGCCACTGGTTCTTCATGTTCTACAGATGCCATTGGTTCTTCATGGTCTGTAGCTGCCACTGGTTCTTCACGTTCTGTAGATGCCAGTAGTTCTTCATGTTTACAGCTGCCACTTTTTCTTCAGTTCTTTTATATGTAAATGCCTATGGTTCTTCAGTTCTTTAGATGTAGATGCCATTGGTTCTTCACATTCTGTAGATGTAGATACCATTGGTTCTTCACGTTCTGCAGATGTAGGTGCCACTACCGCCATCTATATTGCATGGGGCGGTTAAACTTACGACTCTCGGTCTGAACTGCCAAATGGACATATGGATCAAGTTTCTTCCTATCTCTGAAAGTTCGTAAGTCGAATGTTCCTTAGTAGAGGTATACCTGTACACCTTAACATATATATGTAATGACGACTTGACACACTTCTCTTGAGATGGCACTTTATTGAAGACACGTTCACTTGACATCAGGCGGAGACCCCCACTGCAACAGCCTCGAGTCTCCCACGCATCTCCCTTATATACCAACCCGAACCGTCTCGTTCACTTTGGACGCTCGCTTCACCGGCAGAGTGCCGTCCTCTTCCGTCACCTGACCACGCTCCCTTCTCGATCATTCCCGTAGCCACCAGTCCCTTCACACTCACAACTGACTCCCCTGTCATTACCTCCCGTAGCCACCAGTCCCTTCGCACTCACAACTGACTCCCCCATCACTACCTCCCGTAGCCACCAGTCCCTTCACACTCACAACTGACTCCCCTGTCATTACCTCCCGTAGCCACCAGTCCCTTCGCACTCACAACTGACTCCCCCGTCACTACCTCCCGTAGCCACCAGTCCCTTCACACTCACAACTGACTCCCCTGTCATTACCTCCCGTGGCCACCAGTCCCTTCGCACTCACAACTGACTCCCCTGTCATTACCTCCCGTGGCCACCAGTCCCTTCACACTCACAACTGACTCCCCTGTCATTACATCCCGTAGCCACCAGTCCCTTCGCACTCACAACTGACTCCCCTGTCATTACCTCCCTTTGCCACCAATCCCTTCGCACTCACAGCTGACTCCCCCGTCATTACCTCCCGTGGCCACCAGTCCCTTCGCACTCACAACTGACACCCTGGCATTACCTCCCGTGGCCACCAGTGCATTCGCACTGTAGGCTGACTCCCCTATCATTGGCTCCTGTGGTCACTAGTCCACTCACACCGCATGTAGGCTCTGCTGTCATTACATATACACACACGGTCTACTTGATGTCTCGGACAATGGGCCGTCTTCATAGTACAATGCAGCACAAGCAAATGTTCCCAATGTATCGTAACCGGTATTGGCCAAATCAAAGCACCTAATGCTAAACTAATAATAATGTACATTTATAAAGCGCCCTTAAAGCGATCGTTCTCAGGACGCGATGTATGGGAAGGTGGAAACAGTTGAACATCACGCAAGGTAAGAAGAAGTGAGAGAGACGATTTGAAAATAACTAAAGAGAGAGAGAGAAAGCCATTTTAAACAAAGACGTTTTTAGTGGAGATTTGAAGATGTGTAAGAGTCTTTGAAGTCCCCTGATCTCGAAGGGGCAACGAGCTCCAGAGTTGGGGTGCCGCAATTTCCAAGGCGCCGTGACCACCCACACAAAGTATGCACCTGAAATTCATTGAATTGGGATCAACAAAAGGCAAATACCCCGCATGCTGAACAGCCTTGACAGACTGCTGGGGGCAAGTGCTGTTAGCGAGCAGCAGTGCCTGTGAAGGCCGGCACTGTGGCACACGAGGGGGTGGGTGACCAGCGCCACGCCCGGCCGCCTTTGTCTCCCTCGTGGAGATGTTTACACTACGCATCGGAGTCGACCTGGGGGGGGGGGGGGTGGGTTGGCCCAGGACCGGTTCAGATGATCGTCACCGGTGTTGGTGGCCGTGAGAGCTGGAATCGAACTCGGGTCGTCAGGTCCCGGCCAGCATCCCCGCACTCTTCTCGCGACAAAACCCGAGGCGTGCTGGGAGAGCGACAGGGATGGGGGTGCGTGGTGGCGACGATTACCAGAGGTCAAGGAACAGCAGCAGCTGTTCGGAACAACTGGAATGTCCAGAATACTCCACATGCCAAGGTGACATCGAACATTCCGGTTCTCCCCGGGCTCATTCCGTCGACGGTTCTCGTTTAAAATTCAGCATCCGGAAACGAAACTTCGTTACCGGATGCAAGGGGCCCCACTCGGCTGCCACGTCGCTCTATTTCAGAAACAAACGGTGGCTCCAACAAAGTGGGGCATCATCGCGGGGGGACATTTAACGCAGCGGGCCAAATAACTCTGAACGCGTGATGCCGACACTGAATGTGGGGGAAGACCCGGGGTATAAAATCGACGGGGCCACGGGGGGAGAGAAAGAGACACTCGAACTCCGAATTTCGAACTGGCCTCGGTCGGGATCGAACCCACGACCTTCCCGTGTACCAGGCGAGGGAGTTGACGTCTCCTAGCCGCCGCGCGAGGAGGAGTCACAGACGAGGGGAGGGAAGGTTGCGGTAGCAACCACGTGGCAAGGGGCCGGAGCTAACCAACAATTTTCCAAGCTCTGCGATCCTGTTGATATCATCATTATTATGAAGGTTGCATCGGACACTGAATTCCGCGCTTTGTGTTCAGTTTGTTGTACTTCGCGCCTCCGATTAGCACGGTTGGCTATGTACGGTGTGAAACAAGTTCAACATCAGAATAGGGGTTTTCCCCTTTTTCTGGCAACAAAACTGAAACCTTTTCGCAAGGATTCATGTTTACTGCATTAACCACAATACCTGCAGTCAAAATGCAAACAAAAAACATACTATGATAATATATGCATTGTCCTTGAAACTGATTGGTCCACACCTCAACCCAGTTGTGTGACGCCAAAAGGCGTCACACAGCTCAAAGACAACGCCACTATCAAAGTAATGAGGGCTCGGGGTGAGCATCTACATCATTAGACCTCCTTTGCCAGTACCAAAATGTAATAATAGGGTTTTTTCCCCTTATATTTTGGTACATACACACTACACGATTATACACTACTATACACTACACTATACACTACATCACTATACCACATTGAAAACTCATTTCTTTACAAATGCTTCTCGTTGTTGTGTTCAGATTGTTGTCCCCCTCCCCGCACCTCCGATTAGCAACGGCTGACTACGTACGGTGCGGAAGAAGTTCGTGAACTCCCTTGGATGTTCGCACCGTCTTTATATTTTTTTTTTACAAACTTCAAACCAAAAATGTTATTAGATATTAATCAAAGTCTTAAAAATAGACGAGGATAATCTGATTACACAAATCTTACGCCACAACGTCATGCTCCTTTGACATATATTCATCCTCAAATGATTGTACATTCAATAAGGGGCCGTCCATAAATGACGTCACGCACCTGGGGGGGGGGGGGTCAGACATTTGACGTCACGTCAAAATGCGCAACTTTAAATAAATATAGACAACACGTTCTACTTAATTAAATAGACTTTATAATAAATGTTTTCTCCTACAACATCAGAGTGCAGCGCCACATTAACTACGCACTACAATGACAATAGTTTTAAGCGATTTGAAGCATGTATTATAAAAAAAAATTGGGGGGGAGGGGGGCAGAGCTTTGTGACGTCATATTTGAGGGGGGGGTCTGACTTTTTGTGACGCCGTATGACGAGGGGGGTCAAAAGTCGTCCAAAATCGCGTGACGTCATTTATGGACGGCCCCTCGGGACCTGTGATAAAAAAAAATTGTTTAAACGATTCTCCCCTCCCCCGCCCCTCCCACCATTAACCGACGTGGTGAAGTATGGTCACTTAACCCGCATGGCCGCTTGGGGCTGGCTTCATTCCAGTTGAACTGAATTCCTGAGCGAGCTGTCAATCACGCTTCCAAGCCCCGCCCCGACTACACCCCACACCCCCTAACGCCCTCCCATTCATTTGCATAAAAAGCCACCGCCTCCCATATTTGCATAATTCCGGCTGGGGAAACACCCGCACGTGGCTGGGGCGCGCGCTGCTGACGTCGCCGTCGGTCTCGCGCGGGTGGGGGGGGTGGAGTCAGACGGGGCGGGGCGTGGAAAAGGGCGTGGCTTCTACCCACACTCGGGAGTCGATTGGCGGGTGGGAAAGGAGGGCGGGGCGGGACAATTTGCATGTGAGGGGTGGGGGAGTGGTGGTGCAGCGGTTAGCGCCAGCTGCCTTTGCCGCGTTAAAAGCCGTCCCCCACGCGAGTTCGATTCCCGCTCGCGCCCACCAACTTGGCCTGCGACGATGATCTTGAACCCGGTCCTGGGCCTCCCCTAGGTCGACTCAGCCTTCAAACGGGTAACCCGCTGCCGCTGCGTGAACATCGCCACTCGGGGCGACCCCGCGTCCTCGTGTGCCCGTGGGGGTTGCCCGCCTTCTTTCTGTTGCCCGGCGCTGCCTTTGCTCGCCGACAAACAGCCCTGCCAGAGGCGATTTGCCTTGTGTAAAAGGGGCGGTGGCCTCGAATGCAGGGCTCCGTGTTCATTGGGTAGTTGGTGAACAGCTGGGGGAGAGGGGGTGGGGCCACCGGAGGTAATTTGCATGCGGTGGGGGAGGGGCGTGGCGATTGATGGGGGGGGCGTGGCGATTCGTGGGGGCGTGGCCACAGCAGCAGCTGGGCCGGATAGTCGAGCAAGCATTGAGGAAGAGGCTGGCTGGGTGAGCGAGCGAGTGAGTGGGTGAGTGGCTGGCTGGGTGAGCGAGTGAGTGGCTGGGTGAGCGAGTGGGTGAGTGGCTGGCTGGGCGAGCGAGTGGCTGGGTGAGTGAGTGAGCGAGCGAGCGGGTGGGTGAGTGAGTGACTGTCTGGGTGAGTGAGTGGCTGTCTGGGTGAGTGAGTGGCTGGGTGGGTGAGCGAGTGGGTGGTCTACTCGACAGAGACGGAGCTCTCGGAGGGTGGAAGAGAGGGGTGGGGGGTGGGAGACTGAAGTGGTTGTAGAAGAGGGCAGGAACTGAGTGGCACACGGGAGAAGCGTCAGCTGCGTGAAGACGCCAAGTTGAAGGAAGGGGAGGTGATTCCAGCCTCGTGGTGAGTAACAGTACAATACCTAACCAGCGCCGAGTGTGTCACACCGCTATCACCACCATCGTCACTGTCAACATCTATCCCCGGGGCTGTCACTCTCCTCCTGCCGCGCTGTGAGTTGGCATCAGCACTGTCGCCCCCCCAAACCCACTGTCACGTAACAATGTACTGCCACAACCATTGCTCTCTCATTGTGATCGTCGTCGTCAGCGTAGTCATCAACTAAGTACACTTCACACACCACCATCGCCCACTCCGCTACCCACTCACTCACCTACCCACTCACCTACCCACTCACTCAGTCATCTACCCACGCACTCACTCACCTACCCACTCACTCACCTACCCACTCGCCTACCCACTCGCCTACCTACCCACTCACTCACTCACCTACCCACTCACTCACCTACCCACTCACTCACCTACCCACTCACTCACCTACCCACTCAGTCACCTACCCACTCACCCACTCACTCACCCACCCACTCACCCACCCACTCACTCACCTACCCACTCGCCTACCTACCCACTCACTCACCTACCCACTCAGTCACCTACCCACTCACCCACTCACTCACCCACTCACCTACTCATTCACTCACCCACCCTCTCACTCACCCTCTCACTCACCTACCAACTCACCTACTCATTCACTCACCCACTCACCTACTCATTCACTCACCCACCCTCACACTCACCCTCTCACTCACCTACTCATTCACTCACCCACTCACCTACTCATTCAATCACCCACCCTCTCACTCACCCTCTCACTCACCTACTCATTCACTCACTAACTCACCTACTCATTGACTCACCCACCCGCTCACTCGCCTACCAACTCATCTACTCATTCACTCACCAACTCACCTACTCATTCACTCACCCACCCTCTCACTCAACTACCAACTCACCTACTCATTCACTCACCCACCCTCTCACTCACCCTCCCTCTCACTCACCCTCTCACTCATCTACCAACTCACCTACTCATTCACTCACCAACTCACCTACTCATTCACTCACCAACTCACCTACTCATTCACTCACCCACCCTCAAACTCACCTACCAACTCACCTACTCATTCACTCACCAACTCACCTACTCATTCACTGACCAACTCACCTACTCATTCACTCATCGACCCTCTCACTCACCCACCAACTCACCTACTCATTCACCCACCAACTCACTCATTCACTCGCCCAGCCACTCGCCCAATCACTCGCATCACTGCAGGTAACACAACTTATCTGATTTGTTAATCGTCTCTGGTTTCCCAAAGCTCTTAAACTAGACAAACATTGCTCCACTCGAGTAACGTGTTACGCGCATTATTAGCTGTGACCACTCTTCAATGGTGCTCTTTGTTGCTGGCCGCTTGGTGGTTTGTGTTTAGCCTTTGGCACTGTACAGCAGTTATCAGGGCGACTCCCAGAGTGTGAGCGTAAAGTTCAACACTTGGACAATTATACTCTGAAGTGGCCAAGTGACTGGGTAGGTGAGTGGGTGGGTAGCTGAGTGGGTGGGCGAGTGAGTGGATACATGAGTGAGTAGGTGAGTGGGTGGGTGAGTGAGTGGGTAGATGAGTGAGTGGGTGGGTAGGTGGGTAGATGAGTGAGTGGGTGGGTAGGTGAGTGGGTGGGTGAGTGGGTAGGTGAGTGAGTGGGTAGATGAGTGAGTGGGTAGGTGAGTGGGTAGATGAGTGAGTGGGCGAGTGAGTGGGTAGATGAGTGAGAGGGTGAATGGGTGAGTGAGTGAATGGGTAAGATGAGTGAGTGGGTGAGTGAGATGGTAGGTGAGTGGGTAGGTGAGTGAGTGGGTAGGTGAGTGAGTGGGTAGGTGAGTGAGTGAGTGTGTAGGTGAGTGAGTGGGTGAGTGAGAGGGTGGGTAGGTGAGTGAGTGGGTAGATGGGTGGGTAGGTGAGTGAGTGGGTAGATGAGTGAGAGGGTAGGTGAGAGGGTGGGTATGTGAGTGGGTAGGTGGATGAGCAGATGAGTGGGTAGATGAGTGAGTGGGTAGATGAGTGAGTGGGTAGATGAGTGGGTAGGTGAGTGAGTGAGTGAGAGGGTGAGTGAGAGGGTGAGTGAGTAGGTGAGTAAGTGGGTGAGTGAATGAGTATGTAGATGAGTGAGTGAGTAGATGAGTGAGTGAGTATGTTAATGGTTATGTCCGCTGTAAGGGTTTAAGTTAGAGTCCTAGTTATGGTTCATTTACCGTGAGTTATGTCAATGTATTATCAGTATCATGATGACTTGACAATATCATCTTGAACATCATCACAGATCCTAAATCACAATCACCAACATCAACCACCATTGCTATGATCACCCCTTTCACGTCACAATTACTCTTGTAATTGTGACGTCATGTCATTAGTACTGTCTTGTCTGTACTGTCTATACTGTCTTGTCATTAGTACTGCCTTGTCTGTACCGTCTGTACTGTCTTGTCTGCACTCTCTGTACTGTCTGCACTGTTTGTACTGTCTATACTGTCTCTGTGGTCTGCACTGTCTTATCTGTACTGTCTCTACTGTACGTACTGTCTGTACTGTCTGTACTGTCTTATCATTAGTACTGCCTTGTCTGTATTGTCTGTACTGTCTCTGTTGTCTGTACTGTCTCTGTTGTCTGTACTGTCTTTACCGTACTGTACTGTCTTGTCTGTACTGTCTGTACTGTATGTACTGTCTTGTATGTACTGTCTTTCTTGTCTGTACGGTCTGTGCTGTCGCTGTTGTCTGTCTTGTCTGTACTGTCTTTACCGTACTGTACTGTCTGTTGTCTGTACTGTCTTGTCTGTACTGTCTGTACTGTACGTACTGTCTTGTATGTACTGTCTTTCTTGTCTGTACGGTCTGTACTGTCGCTGTTGTCTGTCTTGTCTATACTGTCTTGTCTGTACTGTCTTGTCTGTACTGTCTCTGTTGTCTGTACTGTCTCGTCTGTCTCTGTTGTCTGTACTGTCTTGTCTGTACTGTCTGTATTGTCTTGTCTGTACTGTCTCTGTCTGTACTGTCTCTGTTGTCTGTACTGTCTGTACTGTCTTGTCTGTACTGTCTCTGTTGTCTGTACTGTCTTGTCTGTACTGTCTGTACTGTCTTGTCTGTAGTTTGTTGTCTTATGAGTACTGTACTCTTGTGTACTGTCTCGTCTACTCTTGTGCCGTGTCTGTGATCTTGACGTATCTGTACTGTCTCGTTGCACTGTTTTCTCTGTACTGTATTATCTGTTTTATTGTAATCTCGTTTGTACTGTATCGATACACTTCCTTGTCTGTCCAGTTTGTTCCGACTGCTTTGTCTAGTTTGTACTGCCTCGTCTCTACTGTCTGTCTAGTTTGTACTGTCTTGTCTCTACTGTCTGTCTAGTTTGTACTGCCTCAACTCTTCTGTCTGTCTAGTTTGTACTGTCTCGTCTCTTCTGTCTGTCTAGTTTGTACTGTCTCGTCTCTTCTGTCTGTCTAGTTTGTACTGCCTCGTCTCTACTGTCTGTCTAGTTTGTACTGCCTCGTCTCTTCTGTCTGTCTAGTTTGTACTGTCTTGTCTCTACTGTCTGTCTAGTTTGTACTGTCTTGTCTCTACTGTCTGTCTAGTTTGTACTGCCTCGTCTCTACTGTCTGTCTAGTTTGTACTGTCTTGTCTCTACTGTCTGTCTAGTTTGTACTGCCTCGTCTCTACTGTCTGTCTAGTTTGTACTGTCTTGTCTCTACTGTCTGTCTAGTTTGTACTGTCTCTACTGTCTGTCTAGTTTGTACTGTCTTGTCTCTACTGTCTGTCTAGTTTGTACTGTCTCATCTCTAGTGTCTGTCTAGTTTGTACTGTCTCGTCTCTTCTGTCTGTCTAGTTTGTACTGCCTCGTCTCTACTGTCTGTCTAGTTTGTACTGCCTCGTCTCTACTGTCTGTCTAGTTTGTACTGTCTTGTCTCTACTGTGTCTAGTTTGTACTGTATTGTCTCTTCTGTCTGTCTAGTTTGTACTGTCTTGTCTCTTCTGTCTGTCTAGTTTGTACTGTCTCTACTGTCTGTCTAGTTTGTACTGCCTCGTCTCTACTGTCTAGTTTGTACTGCCTCAACTCTTCTGTCTGTCTAGTTTGTACTGCCTCGTCTCTTCTGTCTGTCTAGTTTGTACTGTCTCTACTGTCTAGTTTGTACTGCCTCGTCTCTACTGTCTAGTTTGTACTGCCTCGTCTCTTCTGTCTGTCTAGTTTGTACTGCCTCAACTCTTCTGTCTGTCTAGTTTGTACTGTCTCTACTGTCTATCTAGTTTGTACT